ACTGGAGCTTTATTCTCTAATCCCAGTTAATTATCCTGTTACTGTATCCTTTGACATTCTTTCTTTGCAAATCCTTTCTCAATTCCTCTTTAAATAATGTAAATTTTTTTCTTGTCAATAGTCACTTGTGTTAAAACATTACACATCCTGTGATTTTTTTCTCTCTCTAAATTCTTTACCCTTGAGCTAAATCATTGAATCATTAAATGATACACTACAGAAGAACATTCAGCCCATCATACCAGTACTGACTCCTTGAAACAGACAGCCAATTCATCCAAGGCCATGCTGCTTGGCCTGCTGTGTTCATCCAGCCCTGCACCTTGTTGTCTCGGATTTTCCAGCATCTGCAGTTCCTACTATCTCTCATCCAAGACCATTGCCATTTCTCTATTTCCCACATTCAAATACTTATCAAAATTAAGTGGGAGGTGATGAGCGAGCGGTATTATTGCTGGACTGTTAATCCAGAGACCCAGGTAACATTCTGGGGACCTGGGTTTGAATCCTGCCATTGCAGATGGTAGAATTTGAATTCAATAAATATCTGGAATTAAGAGTCTAATGATGACCATGATCTGATTGTTTGGGGAAAAACCCATCTGGTTCACTTTAGGGAAGGAAACTGCCATCCTTACCTGGTCTGGCCTACATGTGACTCCAGACCCACAGCAATGTGGTTGACTCTGAACTGCCCTCTGGGCAATTAGGGATGGGCAATAAATGCTGCCTCGCCAGTGCTGCCCTCATCCTGCAAGTGAATAAAAAAATTACTTTTGCAAGTTATAATGGAATCTGTTTCACCACCCTTTCAGGCAGTGTATTCCAAAATTATCAGAACAACTTAATGCATATGTTTTCCCTCATACTCCCTCTGGTTTCTATACCAATATCTTTGTGTCCTCTGGTTACTAACTTTTCTGCCACTGGGAGCAGTTTCTCTTTATTTGCTCTAATGATTTTGAACACCTCAGTTAAATCTCCCTTTAATTTCTCTGCTTTAGGAACAATAATCCCAATTTCTCCAGTCTGTCGCATAACTAAAATCTTTCATCTTTGTTAACATTCAGATAAATTTTGTCCACATTTTGTCTTAAAGTCTGGATGTCATTCCTTCAGTTTGGTGCCCAGAATTGGCTACAATACTCCAACTAGGATCTAATCAACATTTTTAAAAAGGTTTAGCATTACATCCTTGCTTTGGAACTCTGTATCTCTATTTATAAAGGCAAAGATACAGTAAGCCCTCTTAACAACATTCTAAGCTGTTCTTCCACCTTCAAAGATTTATGTGTTGTACGTCCATCTCTGCTTTCACAGTTTATGTCCCCCATTAAAAATGGTACCTCTCAGTTTATTCCTCCCATTAAAATGAATTACTTCACACTTCTCTGCTTTAAATTTCATCTGCCACATATCTACTCAAACCTCCAGTGTATCTGTATCTTTTTGAACTCTGTTATATCCTTCTCACTGTTTATAACACTTCTGAGTTACATACGTCATACAGTCTTTGAAATTATGCTGTGAACACTCATGTTGATGTCATTAACATATATCAAAAACAATCATGGTCTCAACTTTGACCCCTGAGGGACCACTGGCACAATATGCAGGACCATTACATACTCAACTCCACTGTGAAGAATATCACTCACAAGTACTCATTCTGTCTCTTACACCATTGCATTTCTACATAGCTAGTATCCCTTCAATGACATGGGTTTCAATCCAAGGTTATTTATTATACATAACTTCAAAATGCTTTATCATCTCATCAAATAAGTCAACCAAACTGATCAAGAAATCTTGAGCTTATATATGTAACTTCTTCAGAACGTTCTGAAGAAGAAACATATTGGACTTGAAGTGTTAATTATGTTTCTCTCTCCACATGATGCTGGCAGACCTGCTGGGTTTCTCGAGTATTTTCTCTTTTTATTTCGATTTTCCAGCATCTGCAGTATTTTCCTATTATGTGAGTGTTTAATTCACTGCCACTTCTCTTCCAGGAATGTCAACATTAAAGAAGTTCTGCTCATCTCTTTGACAGGATTTCTATTTTAATATTCTCATTAGTTCACCATTTTTTGGTGTTTTCCTCCTAGTGTTTGATTAAGTTTTTGCCAAAACTCTCTTTTACAGTCACATCTCCTTCCTCAGTGACTGTGTCCAGCTCCACCTTACATAAATTCCAGCTGAAATTCCATCCTTCATGTTTTTAATCCACCTGGGATCACATGTATCCTTGGATAGCTGTCCTAAGATCCACACTTGGTGCCATGCACGCTCTCAGCTTCTGTCTCCATCAGCAGTGCCTTGCGCTAATTCAAGGCTGTTCCCCTCCGCCTGTTCCACCTTATTATTATTCTTATTCAAGGCTTTAACAAGAAACATTTTCTCTTCCTGTAAGGTGTCATGGTATGCAAGCTTGAAAAAACTCACACACACTCACGCCTGTCTGGATTCTTGCCCCCCACCTTCTCTCTGATTCCATCTCTCCTTTCCATCTCATCTCTTTCTGGCTATTCACTATACCCTCCAACCTTCCCAACTCTGATGCTGTATGATCTGTGCTCAGCAAAGAATTTAGTTTCATCCTTTTATGCTCCCACTTCAATGAATTACAGGCACAACATGAGGTTGAGCTCTTTTGCCATTGTTTTCACTTCTGTGCCCACTTCTTTGGACAGGAGTCCGCTCACCGCCACACAGAGCCTTGCATCCAGCTCCAATGCTCCCCCTCCCCCTGGAACTCTCCCTCTGACCTTCTGCCTGCACTTGTTCTCTTCATTAAGAACTGCTGACTGGACATTGGTGCCAACCTTATGCAGTCTAATTTTCTCCCTCTGAACTTGCCACGCTCTGTTCTCTCAGGTCTAACTCTGACTTTGTTATCGACCTGCTGATGAGGGTTGTGATGTTTTTGTCAGGCATGGTGATCTCTACCTGGCAGAGGTTGAACGCCAACTCTCAGACACTTCCTCCTATCTCCCCCGGACCATAAATTCATAAATGAACATCGAGCAGTTTTGAAGAAGAGCCATATCAGACTTGAAATATTAACTCTGTTTCTTTCTCCACTGATGCTACCAGACCTGCTGAGTTTTCTGGCATTTTCTCCTTTTATTTCTGATTTCATTTTTCATTATGTATGTCTCCCTTTGTTACTGATTTGGAAATAAGCTTTCACTCCATATCTTCACAAATACCAGCTACTGTATTTGATTTCCCCTTATTCACACAATGGGGATAAAGATAATTGCATGCCTTTTGTTGTAAAGAGAACCTCATTTTCTCCAATATAATTCCAGCAAATTTTAATTTTGTCCATTTCATGGTGAGGTGTAATGAGGTGCTCAGAATGCCATACAATATAGTCTGTTGATGCATTAAGTAGAAAAATAGAGGTCTCAGGCAAAAGGATAACTTTTTTTTGTTCAATTGGGTCTGTATCTACATACCATTAATTTTTCTCACATATAGTTCCTGAAAAATATCTGTTTGTTTAAATAGTTTACCAATTAACAGAATTCTTTTGTGTGGCTACCGATAAAGGGTATTTTGCCAGTGTAAAAATTATGTCCTTTGGTAAGATAGGCCCATTTACTTCAAAATATGCTTTGGACATAAATTGAAATTAATGAATGTTTTCAAGGTATCCAGGAAAGCTTCTTTAACTCAAGTTTGGTAAATGGATAATCTAATGCAATAGAAGTAAAGACAATAGGCTTATTCAAAAGAAATTTTGATGCTGGAAATTTGAAACAAAAACAGAATTTACTGGAGAAATTCATGTCTGATTTCTCTCTGCAGATGCTGCCAAAGTTCATGTTTTGCATGCAGTGACCCTTCATCAGAACTGGTTCAGAACAGATTTATTTAAAAGCGCAGCGACAGAATGATAAGACTTCCCTCTTATTGACTTTGGCAGGTGGAACTGTGACTAACTTTGAGGAAATAGTATCATTCCCCCCACTGGTTGATGGCCCTCAAAAACTTCTTGATCATATAACCCCTCATTATCATATGCTCCAACTTTAAAAAAAATCTAATAGCAAAAGAGCAGCTTCAACTGTCCATCTTAGTTACTTGGGGAGGGTGGGACTAATTGGTGCTGCCTCTCCCTGACAGTGCAGCTCACCAGCAGGAGGTGCTGGTTCTCTCTGACTGTGTGGCTCACCAGCAGGAGGTGCTGGTTCTCTCTGAGTGTAGCTCACCAACAGGAGATGCTGGTTCTCTCTGAGTGTGGCTCACCTGCAGGAGGTGCTGGTTCTCTCTGACAGAGCGGCTCACCAGCAGAAGGTGCTGGTTCTCTCTGACGGAGGAGCTCACCAGCAGGAGGTGCTGGTTCTCTCTGACGGAGCGGCTCACCAGCAGGAGGTGCTCGTTCTCTCTGACTGTGTGGCTCAGCTGCAGGAGGTGCTGGTTCTCTCTGATGGTGCGGGTTGGAGTGGCGGGGTGGAAGGAGGAAGGGGCGGGCTGTGGGTGTGGGGAGGGTTTTGGTCATTTTGTTTGCAGTGATTCTCGACTCTGCTGAGTTCCTATTTCATTCCCAGTTGGAAGCTGGAGTAAGTGTAGCAGGAGGTAAGAAATGATCCCGAACTGAATGTCGTTGCTTTATTTCTAATCTTCACGGTGGAGTTTTTTTTTTAACTAAAACTGCAGACAGAAGTAAAGAAGGCTGCTTCCTGCGAATATGTCTGGAGTAACTGCCGGTTGTACTTTTCACGGCCTTTTGTAATCGTGTGGTTTGTGTCATCGGCAAGTCTCGGAGTCCTGTGAACTTTGCTGGTTGGAGGTTTTTTTTTAAACATATACATTCACTCTGGGATCCCAAGCATTGCACAGAACTCTCACGTGATGGGTTTCAGCAAAACCGCCTCCCACTTCCCAGAAGTGTTTTTACTTCAGGGAATAGCCATTAAGTTTTGCGAAAGTTGCTCCTTTTTAGGAAGTTATCGCTGGCATTTTAGAAAAAAAGTCTCTAATTTGTACGTAATAGCGTTGTAGAGGGTCTCTGCCCAATCTGTGTTACTAGCTGCTATTCTCTGCGAAGCGGATGGTTTGCGTATATCACATTCCAGAGCCATGACCCAGTCTCCAAGTTGACAGCCCTTCCGCGTCAGGATAAGTGTCCCTGGAAGCTCAACAGGCGCACGGGCTCTAAGCAACAAACTTGTCTTGACATAGCGCCTTCCGTGGGCTCGGGACGCCCCAAAATTTTTTGCACACCAGTGGATTACTTTTGGAGCCGTCAACGTAGTAAACCTGCAACGTTAAAATGGAAAATATAACACGGTGAAAGCTATCTATGGTCGTTATTCTGATGGTTTAAACTTTAAAAAAACATGTTCTACAACCTTCCCAACAGATGCAGAAGTTCTGTTTTTTGAGACCGATGTTTTTTGCATTTTAAATCATTTATTTGGTGTGTTGAAACTGATCACTTAGTTTGATCTAGTTATAGCATGCTGATATTGATGATTTTTTATTTAACTGTTTTTATGTTTTTCAGATTCTGAAATTGTCAGTATGCAATGTTGTCCTTCAGTCCATCGTTTTTGCAAATCAAGTTTGACGATTTGCAGTTTCATGAAAACTGTGGCGGGGGAAGTTTTGGTAGTGTGTATAGAGCAACATGGTTATCTCGGGACAAAGAGGTGGCTGTAAAAAAGTTGTTAAAAATAGAAAAAGAGGTAAGGTTTCGCTATGCTATGTATTTTGTGGCTCTCCTTTCTGCTAACTTTTTATTTTCACATTTTATTAGAAATTAGAGACACGTGAATAAGAAGACTAACTTCCAGAAGGCCTTTGGCAAGATGCCACAAAATGCCCCTTTAGGGAAGGAAGCTGACATCCTTACCTGGACTGGCCTACATGTGACTCCAGACCCACAGCAGTGTGGTTGACTCTGAACTGCCCTCTGGGCAATTAGGGATGGGCAATAAATGCTGCCTGGCCAGCGACACCCTCATCCCGTTACGAATAAAGAGGCTGTTAAATAAGACTAGAGCCCATGGTGTTAGGGGCAAGGTACTGACATGGATAGATAATTAGCAAAAGGCAGGGAGTAGGGATAAAAGGGTTTTTTTTTTCAGGATAATAGCCAGTGATTAGTGGAGTTCTGCAGGGGTCAACAGAATCATAGAATCCCTACAGTGTGGAAGCAGCCCATTTGGCCCATCAAGGCCACACTTACCCTCTGAAGAGCTCACATTCAGGGTTCTCTTAAGTTTAACGTCCGGGTTCATTTGGCAGTTAGGAAAACAAAAGCACTGTTAATATTCATTTCAAGAGAGCTAGAACGCAAAAGCAGAGATGCACTGCTGGCGCTTTATAAGGCATTGGTCAGCCTGAATTTGAACATTGAGAACAGTTTTAGATCCTGGATCTAAGGAAGGATTTGCTGGCATTGGAGGAGGGTCCAGAGAGGGTTTTCCAGAATGATCCAGAAGACCTTGTCATATGAGGAGTGGTTAAAGACTCTGGGCCTGTACTTTGTAGAGTTTAGAAGGAATGAGGGGGGCATCTGATTGAAACTTGCAGAATACTGAGAGACCTGAGTAAAGTACGCATGGAGAAGATGTTTCCTCTAGTAGGAGAGACAAGGATCCAGATCCACAGCCTCAGTGTGAATGGACAACCCTTTTAGAGCTGAAGTAAGGAATTTCTTCAGCCAGAGCGTGGTTAATCTGTGGAACTCGCTGCCACAGAGGGCTGTGGAGGCCAAGTCATTGAGTGTATTTAAGACAGAGATAGGTTCTTGCTTGGTAAGGAGATCAAGGGTTTACAGGGTGAAGGCAGGAGAATAGGTTGAGAAACATATTAGCCATGATCAAATGGTGGAGCAGACTCGAGGCCTAGTGGCCTAATTCTGCTCCTATAACCTTGTGGTCTAATTTCTTGAATACTTTAACCCTTTTATAGCAATAAATCTGCTGCCCTTTGTGGCTGTTCCAATTCCCAACCTCTCTTCAGCCTGCAAGATGCATCAAGTTACCATGTGATTGATATTATTTTTTAATCTAGTAATTCATCTGCACTGTTGAATTTCCCCAACTGTACATCTTTACACTTATGTAAACTGTCGAACTAACCCCTGATTAATTCTGAGATTAATTCTGATGAGCAAAGATGTAATCTTGTCTGATAATGTACCTTCAGTGCTTCTGTAGACTAATTAAAATCAGAAAGTTAACTCTCCGTATCATATATTGCAATAACTAAAACGTGTCATAATTACTACAATTGTTTGTGTTTATTTGTCTATTTAACCTTTGACATTAATGTCTGATCTTGGTTGGTCTGCTTTGAGCTTTGTTGTGTTTGAAGTGATTTGCTACAATTCCTGTGGGAGTAAGAGAAGTGAAAGACTCTTCTTCAGGCTGACTCAATAAGGTTGGATTGGCACAAGTGACCAATTTAGTTTCTCCACAGTGAGTTTTCACAAGAAATTCTGTGCAGGGAGATATGGTGAGCACCAGACTGAAACTTCTTAGGCCAAAATGTAAGCAGCTATCTTTCTATGTTGTTAAACACATGACCATTATCTGATGATAGGACACGTAAATAGTTGGACCATGCAGATAATCAATTATGAAAGAATGCATTTATCAGTTCTTGTGGTCTCTCAGGATTCTTAAATGTGTATTTAATGTTTCCATTGGAATCAGTAAATGGTTTTGATGGAGCTATTTTAATCGTCTGGATGGAGAGCCCTGCTGAAATTTCACTGTAATAAAATTCTATATATAGTTCTTTTAGTCTACAGAGATTTAAATTATTTATTTCTGCTTTGTTTCAAGGTAGTGAATTACAAAGAATGAGTTGAGTAAGAGGGACAGAGGATGTAAATACTTTAAGCATGCTTGAACAACATGCCAAAAGGCTCCAGACTCAGTGTTATCAAAGCTTAAGTGTAGGACAGATATTAATAGGGCTTTCTTTTAACAAGCTAATCTAGTGAGTAGCTTCTAGCAATGGCACTTGAGATGTAAGAAGTAGCTGGATGCTGAAATGGTGCAATCTACAGTTTGTATTTTGGGGTGATGTTTGAGGCCTTCATTGTCCTTGCCATCTTGTATTAATAAAAAGAGGTAGATAGTGTAGCTGCTAATTGAGAAAGATGTGGATGTCCTAGTTTGAGCCCTGCATATAATTGCATTTGAATCATGAGTTGGAACTTGCAGATCTTTTGGACAATCCCTCAAGATCAAGGATGACTTTTTTCCACTCTGGAGTTGTGTTTTGTGAGGTGATTAAACTGTCCAGTGACTGGATCCACACATCCTAACACAGGCGGGGCGGGGGTTTTGAAAAGTTGGGTGGGTGGGATGCACAGATTTTCGTACTGTTTGTGTTTGTACATGGCCTCCGCTTGGGCCTGTTGGAGATTTTCAAAATGATTGGTACCTAAATGATGCTTCTTCTGCAGTTTGAGTGGTCTTGGGCAAAAGATTCTCACAATTTAGTGGGGATGTTGCATTTTTTAATAGATGCTTTGAGGGTGTATTGAGGACTTTTCCTGTGCCCTCTGCTAATCTCTTGCTGTGAGTAAACCTGGAGTAGGGAGCTTGATTTCAAAGTCTTGCATCAAGCATCTGACGTTGTATCCACCCACTGCAGCTGATTGGCAGTAACCAGTGCCTCAATACTGGCTATATTGGCCTGAGAGAGAACACTGATATTTAAGCATCAATCCTGCCAATGGATTTGCAGACATTCTATAGTAGGAACTGCTTGGTGATGATCTTTGACTTTCCAGATGTTTAGCCTAAGGCATGTTGTCTCATTCCTTTGTGAATCCTGGATAATGTTGTGGATCTCTGCTTCTAAGAGTGTTCATATGCAGGTATTCTTTGCTCGCTGCAGCTGGATGACAAAGATTTGGGTCGTCTTGGTTCAGGACCAGAGGTGATGCAGGTTGAACTGTTTTCCTACTTGTCCTATAGAGATGCTCCACTCTGCTGGGAAACTTCATGGAGGTAGGGTGGAGTTTTGAGACAAGGAAGATAAAGAAGAGCATCTGTGCAATGACTCAACGTTGCTTGATCCCAGTTTGCACTTATGCCAGGTGTCTAGTGGATCCTGAGGATCAAGGTTTGAATGTTGCACAGGAGTGGAGGATGGTGATGGCATCCAAATTAAGAAGGACACTCTACAGCCCCTCCCAGTGGATAGTCAAAAGCCTTTGTGAGGTCAAAGGGCATGTATGGAGATTCCTGCTGCTTGCTGAACTTTTATTTGGACTCGTTATTCTGTAACGCTCATGTCCACTTTGCCTATTGATGAACAGAATCCACATTGTGACTTCAGGAGTAGCCCTTCAGCCACTGGGAAGAAGCACTTGAGGTGGATTCTTGTAATTTCCCGGTGGTGGACAGCAGGAAGCCAACCTGTAGTTACTTCTGCTTCCTTTCCTCATGAGGTCACAATAATGGCATCTTGGGGATCTTCTGGCATGATCTTCTCCTTCCAGATAAGTGAGATGAGGTAATGTGTGCATAATATACCAAAAATGCTTCTCCTCTTTGCATTAACATTTTGTCAGGGGTTCCGTCTGTGCCGGGGGCCTTGTTTGTTCTCAGCTGTCGGATTGCTTTTTCAACTTCATATCAGGTCAGGGATGTGCTGAGATAGTAGTGACAGATGTTGGTGAGATAGTGAACTTGCGGTTGACTACTGTTAGTTTTGATGTTCCTTTTTGGAACACTAGATGCTGAATGCCATGACCACAGTTCAATTACACATATTGTGGATATTGTTAAACACAGTGCTTGAGAAACTCAGCAGGTCTGGCAAGCATCTGAGGAGCTACTACACTCAACATTAACTCTGTTTCAAAGCACAGACGCTGCAGACTTGCTGACTTTCACAAGCATGCTCTGTGTTTGTTTCAGATTTCTAGCAACTGCAGTTGCTTTTATACTGTGGATATTGTATTGCATATGTAATTGTACAATGTTTGAAAAATACAGTGCAGTGTGTTATTAATTGCAATATGGATTCCTAGAACCAGCATAGGATAAGCACCCCATTTGGTGTAAATGATGTGCTCGAGAGTTCTGCACAGCATGAAATACTCTACAGTGCTGAGTAGGAACAGACAGCTCAGGAAATGGCTTGATATAGGAGAAACCTGACTTTCAACTCCACTGAAGAGATGCTGATCTTAGGGGCTCAACAATCAGAACGAATTTGCTTTCTTGTTACCAGCTTGTTTAAAGGCATCCTGCCTCAAAGCTAATGCAAATATTTGAAAGATCCAGTTGCAAAACGATGCAACAAATCTGCAGTCTTGGACAGACTGTGTGTTGCACTGTATGGACGCTATAATCAAGCAGTCATAACAGAAGTCCATTGCAAGAGCTTGTTCAGATTTTATCGTTGGTGAAATTGCCGTCACTTGGTACTGAAGTAGCCCACCCTCTATAGGCTTGTTAGAAACTTCAGTTATACTCTGGATCACTTAAACACTGTTTTCCTTTAATTCACTTGGATTGTAGAGTTACATCACCCTGTGGCAGGGCGCATAGCCTTTTCCTGTTTATTACTGTAAAAGAGGTATGCTGTTGAAGGTTTTCGATTTGCATGCATCATGACAGAATGAGAAGAATACCAAATTTCAAGTGGAGCAACAATTTTATACCACATCAGAAGAAGGTTCTGATTGGTTTGCAAGTGGACTCTGCTTGATAGAGGTGTTACCATGGAGAATGCACCAGGGAACAGTTAGCATAAATTGATGCAAAGCAAATTAACTCTTGTTGAAACATTGCCTTGGGGAATGCACCAGGGACTGACTGTTCCCAAAGCTTTTGCTCAGTTGATAAAATACAATGTATGTATAAGGTCTTTCTTGCCCTAAGTGTGAGTATATGTAGCTTCTAGTCTAAACTGCCTTTTCACTAGAACTGTAACTCTGCTACCTCCCCAACCTCTGCTCTGTTGACCGAGGAAAATAAGCTGTGAGGAGGGCACAGAATAGTTGCAAAGGGAACTGCAGGTTAAATAGTTGGGCAACAAGCCAGTTGGAATGTAATGTTGGAAAGTGACGTTTTCCACTTTGATAGGAAAATATAAGGATGTCTAGGTGTGTTTATACATAACCCAGAGAAAGTTTTATTATGCAGGTATAGCGAGCCATTAAGAAAACAGTGGTATATTTTCCTACACCGTAAAGGGTTTGGTCTATAAGAATGAACAAGCCTTAGTGCAGTTGTATAGGGCCTTGGTGAAACTCTTTCTGGGGTTGCAATGTACGGTTTTGGTCTCTGTACCTAAGGAGAATAAGCTTGTCTTTGGGGGAGAGCCACTAATTCTTGAAATGAACAAATTGTCTCTGAAGGCTGATTGAGAAGAGCATGCATGTGTTCCCTGGAATTTAGAAGAACTGAGAGCTGATCTATTTGAAACATAAAATTCTTGAGGGATGTGATGGCAATGATGCTGAAAAAGTCTTTATATTGGCTACAGAGACAACAAGGTGCAGGGCTGGATGAACACAGCAGGCCAAGCAGCATCATAGGAGCAGAGAGGCTGACGTTTCGGGCCTAGACCCTTCATCAGAAAAGCATTATATTGGCTAGCTAGGTAATCTAGAACACAGTCACACTCTCAGAATAACAGGAACTTGGAACTGAGATGGGGAGAAACCTTACAGCTCTACACCAGAGAATACAGTCACAGAGATGAGATCAGTAGATTTTTAGATTGTTTCTGTACTTCTAAATTCCTTTACTATGTGGAAGATGGATTTGAGGTGGGAAATAAGCCCCGCTCTTGCTGTAGCACTGGCTTTAAGGATCAAGCCCCATTCTTGCTGTATCACTGGCTTTAAGGATCAAGTGACCATTTCTAATTAAGTATTTATGTTATAGTGTAATAGACCCTTTTTCATGTTTTATATACCACTTTAACACATCAAGTTTCCGACGGCCAAAAACAAGCATCTAACTATTCTAATTGCATTTTCCAGCACTTGACCCAAAGCCTTGTATGCCTTGGAATCACAAGTTCACGTCTAAACACTTAAGTGTCATGAGCGTTTCTGCCTTTACCACTCTTACAGGCAGTCAGTTCCAGATTCCCACCACCCTCTTGGATAAAAATAATTCCTCATATCCAGTTGAAATCTACTGCCCCTTTCCTTAAATCTGTACCCCTGGTCATTGATACCTCAACCAAGGGGAATTGTTCATTCCTGTCTACCCTGTCCATGCCCCTCATAATTTTATACACCTCAATCAAGTTTCCCCCCTCAGTCTACAATTTTTTTTTCTCTTATAATAGTTTCTGCTATTAGTATGGGGCTTTTGAAACAATAATTTTACACGTAGCTCCAATATTTTATCTTTTTAAATGTGGAAGTTTTGAAGACCCATGACTACTGCAGTGGAATTATAATAACCATTTATTAATTAAACAAATAGTTTAATTTGTATTGGATAATGTGTTTTCTAATTTTGAATTTAGGCTGAAATTCTGAGTGTTCTCAGCCACAGGAACATCATTCAGTTCTATGGAGCTGTTCTTGAGTCACCCAACTATGGCATAGTAACTGGTAAGTTTTTAATAACATTCCACATAATTGAACTTTAGTGAAATGCTGTTCTTCGTTGTCTTGCATGTCATAATCCATAAATTAATGTTTGCTTTAGTTTGTTTGTCAGCTGTCTTTACAATGTGATAAAGTACAAAATAGATTCTATTTTGGCATGCATTTATGTTTAAAAACATTGCCTAAATATATACAACAGGAAATTCCATTTCTCCAAAATTTGCTGCATGTCTTGGTTTGAATGAATGATGCAGTCAACAATATTAGTATCAAATGTCCCCAATTTTGTAAATCTACTTAACAAGCCTACCTAGTTATTCTGCTTTACCTCAATCTTAGCAGAATTTGTTTCTGAAATTAAGTAATCATAAGCAGAAGTAGGCTATTTGGCCTCTTGAAGCTGCTCCACAATTCAATATGATCACGACTGATCTGATTTGGCTGAAAATCCACTTGGCTGCCTGCATAATGTGTAGCTTGTTTCCATATATTCATATGTTCTCCACACAATTGTGCATTTATTCTGACTGTTTAGATTTTGCATTGCATGAAGTGTAGCATCCTAGCTTTACAAAGTATTCACATGGTCCTTTTGCACCCTCTGAATAATTTTTAAAACTTGCTTAGATACTATTTAAATGTACTTCGTGTAGCTGCTTGCATTTACAATTTGAAAGTGCATGTTTTTGCTTTATGGGGGAGCATCGAATTGAGGGAGTGGGGGTGATGTCGTCATTTAAGATGAAGATGAGGAATTTCTTCTCAGAGGATCATCAGTCTTTGGAATTCTCCTCAGCAGGGAGGAAATGAGGCTGGATCATTGACTATGTACAAGGTTGAAATATATGTATTTTGAATACAAGGGAGTCGAGACATGTGAGAGACAAGCAGGATAATGGCACGTCAGACCAGCCATGCATTTATTAAATGTTGGAGCACATTCAGTGAGCCAAACGGCTGCTGCTCTTTCATATGAACTGACTCATGGCTTCCACCTCATAATCGAGGAAAGTTTTGCGTTAGGAGATACTTACAAATAGGCCTATGAGAAAAGATGGGAAGTCTTGTTTTCTTTCTGTTGCCTTATATGTTCTTGATGTATACTTACATTTGCTGAGGGAAGCTTGGGCTCACCAATTCATGGAGTATTATTCCAGTACAGTGTCGGTCACTGAGAAGTTTGAATTTTCCAGTTTAAATGTAGAATTTAAAAGGTTATGTATTGCATTGAAAGAGACACCAATATGTGTCTTTTCAGACTTGCAAAAGATTGTACTGATATAAAAGCAACCTCTTAAAATTTAAATGTGATTTTTGGACTGGTATACGTACTGTTTTAGTTCTACTAACGGATGCACTTTGACAATAGTACTGCTTCACGTGGTAACATTTAACTTATGGAACTGCAGGGACCATTCAACCCATTCTATTTGCTTTTTTTTTGTTCACAAAGAGCCCTGTTTCCCTGCTGTCTCCGTCTTACACTGCATCTTTCTTTCCTTCAACTATTGATCAAATTTTCCCTTTAATTCCCTTAAACTATTTCCTGTTGTTATGATGAGATGAAAAGAGTGCACTGTTTTTTTTTTTGTCCCACTAGCCCATGGGACACAATGTAAATTTAACCTATTCTGCCTGGTTTCTGATATGGCCAGTTGTATGTTTTTTTGAGATTGATGGGTTTTTTTATTACAAATCTAATCAGGTTTCTTTTAATAAGCTCCAAATTATTGATTTATTCTAAAACAAAGCTTATTCAATGAAGATGTATAATTGGTTAACAAACTTGATTTCTAATGCAGAATTGGAATTTTTATGCCTGTTAATAACACAAATGCACATACTGGGAAAAGGTGAGGAAAACATATAGATTTATCTTTGTGGAGATAAATTTTGGACATAAACCATTTGGGCCAATGTGTCTTAGATCTTGAGGGCTGAAATGATGAGGTTTGGGATTATCAAATGGGGCATTCTGGCATGTGTTGATGAATGTCACCAGCATCATCTCTGGGATCTTGGCAGACACCACTTCTTCAGGAAACACCGTATTAAGAAGTGTTCCCATTTCTGTTCAAGAGAATATTCAGATTTCATGCTGAGTTCTCCATAAAGGTGCTTCAGAAACAAGAGACATGAGCTGAACAGTTTGTTACTTAGCAGGTTATCCTCAAGCCCACAAACAGCGTTCAGACAGGAAAGCTTGGTTAATGGTAGCCCTCCGGATGTTGGTGGTGGAGGATTCAGTAATTGTCATGCCAATGAGCTTCAAGAGGAGGTAGTAAATTCTTTGCTGTTGGAAATATATTGGTTTCAGCAGAGAAAGAGAGACACAGCCTATTAGTCTCTGTTGCTCTCTGAAGAGCAAAACAGCTAGTCTTAATTGCCCAAAACCTTTTGTGACTTGTTGCAGCAGGACTGCAAAGATTTGTCCTGACCTGTTGATTATGGATCAGCTCAGCTCTGTCTATGGCATGCTGCTTCTGTTTAGTATGGTTCTGTCCTAGTTATTGGCTTTATTAGTTTGGGCACTCCTGTTTTAAATGTCTGGTGTTGCTCTTGGCATACTGTCCAACACATCCCATTGAACCACAGTTGGTGCCTGTCTCAATGGTAAGCTTAAGAGATGTCAAGTCCTGAGATTACCGATTGTGTTGGAGCACAATTTTGCTGATGTTGATGGCACATAAGACCATGGGTGTCCCCAGTTTTGAACTGCTCAATCTGTTCTGAATCCATCCCATTCAGCATGGTGGTGGTGCAATTCAACAGTGAGTCTTCCTCCTGAAACTGGCATGCGTGCGTACTTACAAAAAATTTACTTCTTTAGTGTACCAAACATCTGACCAATTTACATATAAGATAATGTTTTGATACTAAGCCTGATGTGTTATTAAGTGTATCAATTGATGTTAAATATGAGCTGGGGGCATTGATTGAATAGTTACTTGAGCACCAAAAGATAGTGACATGAGTAGTGTGGAGTCACATGATGTTTACTTGCGAGGTTTCCCTGTTGCTAAATCCAGTAATGACTTGCTTTTCTTTCCTCACCTGCTGGCTATCAGGAGTATGACACAGTGCACTGATGCCACCTAAATTCCTGCCATGCACACACAGCATGTGAGTCTTTGTGCTTGGAGTTTCAATTGTAGAGTAACCTCCTGAGCAACCCACTTAGATTTTCTAATGTTGAACTCTGAGAGAGATTTGTATGTAACAGCTTAGTGATATGCCGGTTGGGATTTTTTCAAAAAACAGAGGTGCTATTGGCAGTAGCAGAGTAAGTAGCCAATTATTTGTTACCAGCTTCATTAGAGTGAATTCCACTTCGTATTGCTATGTGACTTGAGAACCAGGCTTCAAGTACTGAACAAAATGTGTATCCAGGATGAGGTGGTTTCAGTTCAACAAGTTCCTTCCTATTTACTTATGAATGTTTGTAACCATATTTGAAATAAATCATTCTCTGTGTTAGGAAATATATTTTGTTAGCTTAAGTTGCTCTTATTTCCTGCAGTATCAATGTTAAATTACAGGGAAATGCTGTGTTGCTGGGAATCTGCCTGAAAATTCAATACTGATAAAAGCTGATGAATGATTTGCAAATAACAACTCCAAACCACATACAGGTTGAGTTAGCTGTGCATACATGGTACTTGAAATTTGATTGGCTGCCAAAATTGAATTCAAACAATTAATAGTTATAGTGACATGCAAATCAAATGTTTATTTCTAAGCAATGGAAGACAATTTTCTATTGTTTAACCCCAGAATCTGTAAAAGGAATATTTCTTCCAATAACATGTAAAAAGCAGCACTGCTGTATAATATACTATTTTGAAAAAGAGGCAAGACATAAAGTAACTTGAATGTATCACACTTGGCTAAGTAATTTTAATCTGTCGGACCGCTCAAAGATTTTAAAAAAGTCTCCCTCCAACTGTGTACATCTTACACTTGTGTCCCACTCCCTCATTCTTATAGAATTAAAAGAGTTTACACTTGCCTTACATTTTCAATACTGTATATACATCAGTCTTTATCAGTATTGAATTTTCAGGCAGATACCTAGTTGCAACATCGCATTTTTCAGTAATTTAACTTGCATACTTTCATTTCTAAACTGCTACTGTGATCCTGAATCTGAATCCTCGTTAGTCTTCCTTATCATAAAGTTTAAGTTTTCTCTATAATTTTTATACTGCTGCTTTGCTATTTTAACTCTTTCTTTTTTTTCACCTTTTTCTCAATGTCTGGGTCTTGCAGCAATGAAGCATCCAACATTTAGTTGGAAGCAGGGACTAGATATGGGGAATAGACTGAATGTGGTGTTGAACATGCTGTTTCATTCAAGTGCGCAAGAAATTGAGCTGAGATAGGAGAGTGGAGGGAGAGCAGTCTTGGGATAATTAGGAAATCTGGTGGTGTGCTTACTAAGCCAGTGAATCCACATGCTTTTTTTAAAAAAATCATTACATCCACAGAGGTACTGCTATCACACATGGTACTGAGAGCACCACTGGAAAAGCAACCTGACAGCTGACAACTATAGAAAACCAAAAGAACTGCAGATGCTGTATATCAGGAACAAAAACAAAGTTGCTGGAAAAGCTCAGCAGGTCTGGCAGCATCTGTGAAGGAAAAAACAGAGTTAATGTTTCGGGTCCTGTGACCCTTCCTCAGAACTCCGAGCTGACAACAAGAGGTTTTACTGTAGCCAACTTGCATATTGATAGAGCAGAAGAGAAGAGATTTGTCTTTGAGGAGATTCATAAAGAATCTTCAGTTCACAGGTTAAGCCTATCTTATAATTTTGTGTAGTGCCAATGTCACAGATGCTACATTGTTGGTGCTATAATCTCCTTCTCTGCAAATTTCAAAAAACAGGATTTTGCGTAAATCGCTGGGAGAAACCTCTTATAGCAACTGCAAATACTGATTGCCTACTCTATTTTTGGTCAGTTAATGATCATTTTCTTGTAGTCAAAACCATTAACTCT